AGATATTTAAATATATATAACTTAAGTGGCATGTATGTAAATCTTCATTTTATGTTTTGTTCAGTTATAAAATTGATTTAGTTTAGATTTTATTTTAATTGAATTAGGATTAAATTTAATTGTAGGTTTAATTTAGTTTAAGTATTGATTTTGTTTAATGTTAAGAGCTATAAGTGAGACTGATTTTAGTTTATATTTGAATTATGTTTATTTTTAAGTTCATGTTTAAGTTTTCTTTTTAAATTCAATTTGGGAGTTTAATGTTAAGAGCTATAAGTTAGACTGATTTTAGTTTATATTAGAATTATGTTTAGTTTTAAATTCATGTTTAAGTTTTCTTTTTAAATTCAATTTGGGTTCTTCTTTTGTTAAATTTTAGTTTCAAATTTGAGTTTTGATTTAATTCTTTTTTTTAATTAGACTTCAATTTGTATTGATTTTAATTTTATTTTTAATTTGAACCAAATCTAATCTCATCTAAGCTAACCAAAATACACTGAATCTAACTGAAAGCCCAACCCAATTGGGCTTGGATCCACTTGAATCTAACTGAAAGCCCAATAACTGAAAGCCCAACCCAATTGGGCTTGGATCCACCAAGCCAAGCTAGGGTTAGCTTGAGTCAACCAGACCAATTCAGGGCCAACCTAGCCACCTGGGGGCTCTAGGAAAGAAATTCTAGACTTTGATAAGACAATGTCGAGGAGGAGAGTGTTGCCCAGGAATGAGGTCAACTGTTGCAACATAATATAATATAAAATATTTTTTTGCATTTTAATGGTCCGCATTCCCATGCAAGCAATCACATGTAAGGGCTTATGATCCCTTAAAAAGTTATCAAAAAATAGAAGTAAAATTATCATTTTGATTTACTTAACAATATGTTTTTTTATCACTGATAAATATGTAGTATTTTTTATTATATAAAGGAATTAACAAATCTCTAGTTTCTTAGTTTGATTCATTAGTAGAAGAAAATACTTGTACTAGTAAGACTTCTACCAACTCATCTTCATTGAAGTTAAATCCATCATTACTATGGAAACATTCATAGATCTAACTAATGATCATTGGTTTTTAATTTGATGGAAAATATTAGAATGATACTAAATGGATAGGGTGGTGGGATCTATAATGTTTGAAGTGGCAACTTAATTTGAAAAATTTTAAAGGGTTTTTTCCCCTAAATTAGGTTTAATACATATGTATGGCCAATTTCTTCAAAAGGAGATCCAATATTTTTCATGGTCTATATTCACTTAATGATAATGATTATTAATGTATTAGAGTAACATAGTTATTAATAAAAGTAAATCAAATGTTGGAATGATAAGAATAACTATGAATGAGATAATTTGTCTCTTCCACAAGGACGAATGAAGGTCCACGTACATACCAAAGACAATAATAATTTATGTTTAAACCTTTTTTTCAAATGCTAGAAGAAATTTATTAATTTTTTCAACCATTTCTAAAGACCTAATAATCGACTTATAAAACTTAAAATTTAAAAAGTAGAAAAAATTATGGGGTGGGCTTCTTCCTTATGTCAAGCCCCCTTCAACTTTTAAATTTTTAGGTTGTTTGACCAGCCATTAACTATGGAGAAAGCAATTAAACAAAGAAAATGAAGTTTTGAAGTTTAAAATAAAAAGAAATTTGAAATTTAAATTTTAAGATTCAATTATTAAAGTTTAAAATTTAAACATCACCATCAAACTAATATTTTCCCTTATTAACCATTTGTTCGTTTGATATATCTTACACTCAATGGGTTATATCCTTTGATATTGTGATAGTTCCCTTCAACGATATCATGCTAATGATGAACAAGTTGACCATTGTAATGTTTTACTTTGGGTTCCCCACCAATTAGCTACTTTTTGTGTATATCTTTAGCATGCATGAGGCCCTATAATTTCCAACATCTTATTAACAAGCTTCAAACATGATTGCCTAATTGGAAAGGTAACTCTTCAAGATTTAGTGATTAGTATGTGCTCTCTACTTCACTAATGGAAATGTTTATATTTTTTTCCTAAGTGGTTTACATCACTAAAGCCGCTTTAAATCAGGTTCAATCAAAGTATTCTATATTTCTAATATTTAGTGCGTACCATGGTTTTTATAATTGGATTAGATATCAAATCAGTAGAAGAGGAGTTCTAGGTCTGAATGTTAAACCAAAAATTGAAATGGGTGATTTAATAAATATTAACTTACTTTCAATTTGACTTAAGTAACATAATAACTATGTAATATTTATGTATGAAATATAATGAACTTTTTATTGTGACTTCAATTTTATATTTCTAGGTTTCTCTGGTCTTAAGGAATTTTTCAAACTAATTTTCATAATTTTCTGATTTTTAATTTTATATAATCATTTTAAGCTAAAAATTATATTTGCTTATAAAATGTATTTTTTATATTAAAAGTAACTTTTCTTACTTTCAAATTTTACAGGTACGCTACAAAATTATTTTCTTCATTTTGGGATATTTTGATGACTTTTGGAAATATTTTGTATTTTTCAATTTTTTTTAATAATCCTTATTGGTTTTAAATGGAAAATTGTATTTTGGAAATGATTTGTATTTTTCAATTTTTTGGTCCTCTAACTACAATGAACTTAATAAGCTTGATTTTTGTATTTCTCTTACTTTTCTTTTATTTTATATAATTATTTAATTAAAACAATATTAAGAGTCCTACGAAATTAGAGCTTTTAATCATAGGGATGCTCTCTCACCTTGGAAAATTTAGAGGAGGTCTCTAATATCATTACAAAAAAACCTCAAAATTTCACTTAATTTGGATAATTATTTAATTAATTATAATTAATCTTTCATCGGGAGTTTTTAATTAATTAAAAAAATATTTAATAAATTCTCCTCTGTTTGCGGAGCACAGATGTGTTTTTGATTTATTTTTGTGATTTATCTACACCAAAATATCAATTTTTAAAATTTATTTAATTAAATAATTCTAAAATACCCTAATTTTCTACTTATTCGATGCGGCACCCTATCATTCTTGGCAGCTCTGAACTTCCAAGCGGCGTGCTCAGATTGATTGCACTTGCTTTTCCTTTATATACAGAGAGAATGTCTATCAGATTTTTCTGAATCAACTTCATCTGTCCTGCTGTTCAAAATTCCAAGGGCCGCACGGACGCAACAGATAGATCCATCGAGACCACTAAGCTGAGCTTGTTTTATCATGTTTTATATATTTTTTACCTACTATTAATCTTTTTGTGCAACATACTATGCATATACTTTATTTTATATACCTCTCATATGCACCAAACTTTTATATATATGGATATTAATGTTTCCGAACGATGAAATTAGATTCGCTCTGCATCATCCGGCATGAATCTCGAGATAACTTTTTGAGTAGTAAACATTCAAACTTTAATTAAAAGTCAACAGAGACTTCATTTCAGTAAACTTATAGTCAAATTGAACGACTCGACGGGAGAGACCTAAAGTTACCAACATTGATCCACACTGAACCAAATCAAGCCCTGATCAACATGTTAAACCATGCTTGAAAGTTTTTCGGATACATTTGAAAGATCAAATAGATGTCGCATCGGGCGAGTTCATAGTCGAATCAAGCATCTCAACAAGATGAATCTAACGAGCTTAATATTGCTTAATTCCTACATCGTTAAGGACCTCAAATGTCATCACATATCATCTGATTGAGTGAAGCCATTTGAGTCGTATGATTAATATGGTTTATATTTCTATATTGATTGTTTTCAGAATTCTATAAATAGAGCCCCACCGCTCTCATGATGGGGAGAGGAGCATGAGGCTTGAGGAAAAGCTTGAAGTTTTGAGAAGAAACTAAAGTCCAAAATCACTTTTGTCGTTGTCGACTACCACCGACGATCAACGACCGTCGCTCGTCGTCAGCCACCTACTGCTGATGTCGATCAACTCCAACTGTTGTTGATCATCATCGACCACCATCGACAATCATTTGACGGTCACCTACGATCGTTATCATCAACGCACCCGTGGCCTACAACAAGTTCATCCGCACGTTGATGTTGTAACTTAGAAGACAAAGTAACCAATTTTCGCTTGTGAGACAAGTGGTTACAACTGTAATCATCTTTTTATAGTAAAATTTTTCAGTTATGTCATACCCCATGATTTTTTCCTTTACGAGTTTTCCACGTAAAAATGTCAATTGTTTCTACTGATTATTTTTTTTGCATCTGAGTGTGTGTCGAAATCTCGTGCAACGCTGAGATGATAATCCATTACTCTTACTGCCAAAAAACTTCTAGCACACATCAATTATCACCACACCTAATATTTTTTTCTAATTAAGACCAGCTCTTAGGTAATTTGTGCAAGATATGCTTCGAAAATGCTTGAGACTACCAAGTTCAAGTTATAGTTGATTCAAACCATTTTGTAGTAATCGGCTTCTCGGAACTGATTCAAATCATCATTGTGATTTGGTTTTGTTATCCATGGCAAATTTCTACAAACATTTAGGACCCGTTTGGGGCAGCTTATTTGGTGCGGTGAAGTTTTAAAAATGCACTTTACTTGTTTGGGTAAACTGTGTTTTGGTACCTTATGCAAAAATGCACTTTACTTGTTTGGGTAAACTGTGTTTTGGTACCTTATGCATTTTCAAAACACTGAAAACAGTGTTTTCACACTGCACCTGTCTAGGCGTGGTGACAGTTTTCTGGCAGCGGTCTGACTTTTCCAAAAAATAAAAATTTATAATAGTCATCGCACTTAGTTTATCAGCAGATTATTCAATAAGCTGCAGCTGCCCCCAAACAAATCCTAAAATATTTTTTTTAATGATGAAAAAAATGGAAATAATATAATTTTTTTTTTTCATACTAAACCAAGTCAAACATCAACCTACAAGTAAATCCTAAAACATAAAATATCAACCAACATATTTAGAGCATGATTTAAGCTAAATCTTGTGAGACCGTCAATTTGTCGAAGTTGAAGGTGCGGATTTGATAAATCTGGATTTTGCCATTGGAATCACACTAAATTTACACAGAACATCCCAAACAATTCTAATGGATTCGCAGAATTTAGAGGATTTCATTACAGACGATTTTTCATCGAGTATTTAGTACATCCAAATCTAAAGGATTTATTAAATCCTAATAACTTAAAATAAATTCGTTGTGAATGCATTAACATAATCAAATCCGCCCTTCAAATTTCACCGGATTCGCCATCAACATAAGTGGCGTCTTCTTCGTAACACCGATCCCAAAATGCTCCCTCATGTCAATATCTTTCCCCTCCATCCCCTCCGGCAAGGTCCAGTCGAATCTATAAAGAACATTAGCTAATCCAATCTCCACGCCCGCCAAGCCAAGCGCAAACCCGGGACAAATTCTTCTTCCCGACCCAAATGGAATGAACTCTATGTGATTCCCCTTGTAGTCAACGGAGCTGTTCTCAAATCTCTCCGGCTTGAAGATCTCAGCATCGTCTGGCCACAACTCAGGATCTCTACTCATACAAGAAATGTTAACCATGACTCTGGTCTTTGCAGGAATATCATAACCGTTGATTTTTGTATCCTTCATACATTCACGTGCACCGAGCAGAGGAGCAGCAGGGTGCAGCCTTAACGTCTCTTTTATCACCATTTTGAGATAGTGAAGTTGCTTCAAATCATCTTCTTCAACTTTTCCCTTGTTTCCAACCACCTGCCGGACCTCATCTTGTGCCTTCTTCATGGCCTCCTTGTTCCTCATGAGCTCTGTCATTCCCCAAACTGTTGTCAGCGCTGTGGTCACAGTTCCTCCGAAGAACATATCCTGGTATTGTACAAACATTAATATACAATTTAAGCTAAAAACAAGTCGGAATTAGTTGTGTACCAGAAGAAGAGCCTTGACTTCGTTTCTGGAAAGCAGGAATCCTAGCAATGGATTCTTCTGAACCAGACAGAGAAGAAGGACATCGAGAATGTCTTGAGGTGGGCTCCTCCCAAGCCTTTCAATGCTAACCCACCTCTCCTCAATTTCCTTCTCGTACAACTCATCCATCATCCTGAAACATCTCTGAAGCTTCATCCTGCTGCCGGTGAGAAAATCTGCCCACCAGAACGAAGGAAAGAAGTCGGATACAGTAAACCCGCCCATGAAAGATACAGCCATCATGATCATGTCATGGTGAGGACTCGCCCCGCACTCCCCATCAGCTGATAATCTCTTCCCAAACACTTCTCTGTATATGATGTTGTTGAATAGGCAGAGCGCCATGTCGGTGAAATTTATCAGCTTTCTGCTTGAAGAAATTCGTGTTATGGTGTTCATCAAGATCCCCACTTCTTCCTCTCTGATTCGACGAAAAGATTGGATTTTTCTGGGGTTGAAAACGTCGGCGATGAAGAACTTGCGGAGCTGCTTCCAGTGGTCGTTGAAAGGAGAAAAGGCCATGTCAAGGCCGCCGTAGGAGAACTTGGAGAAGACGATGGTTTCAGGGCGGGTGCAAAAGATGAGATCTTGGGTTTTGAGAATCTCAAAGGCGGTTTCTTTGGAGGAGGCGATGATGGTGGGAATCTGGCCGAGCTTTAGGTACATGAGAGGGCCGTACTGTTTTGAGAGATGGAGGAGGGAGATGTGGGGGAGACGGCTGAGATTGAGAAGGTTGCCGACGATGGGGAGGGGTTTGGGGCCGGGTGGGAGTTTATAGCTTCTTCTTCTTCTTCTTCTGCTCAGACCAGTGGGAAATCTGAAGAAGATAAGAAGAAGAGGGAGGAGAAGAAGGCATGAAGTGAATAGCAGAGGATACATGATTTCAGGGAAATTGGAAGCCTGGAGTTCCGATGTATTCAGTCTTATAATGAGCATGCAATCTTAAGTTTTTGTAAGTCACACCTATCTTACAGGAGATATAACGCGGATATAACTCTAATATCCTCTCTCTAATCTATCTAATATGAGCGCACTACGTATGTCTTATGTATGCAAACTTTTCTCCATTTGCACAGAATAATGTAGCTGGATCATTTTAATACGAGTCTTGTTTTGCAATAATGAAAACTGGGATTAATGGCCTAAAATTTGAGTTTATTATATTTATACCCATGTGTCCAACGTTAGGATTAATTTATGTTAATGGAGTGCTGGGCTGCCACTTGTAATCCAAACTGGAGATAATTTTGTTGTGTGGTTATGATTTGAAACAGCGAGAGGATTAAAATGAAATTTTTAACCTTTGAAATTTGTACCGTGCAACTTTATTCGGTAGAAGGTGACAACGGATGGGCTGTTAGAATTGAGGTTTGACATGGACCGCTATTAAAGAGAATTATATATATATATATATATATATATATATATCTGTGTGTGTGTGGAGCACGAATTTGGACAGGCGTCCTAACGTAGAAAACTATTCGGAGACTAATGAGATGTTTAAACGTGGCATGATGGGCCCATATGAAATTCCGGTTAAAAAAAAAGTTTGCGGCCCGGCCCGACCCTAACCCAAGAACGTTACGAAAACATTTTTGCATTAAAAAGGACCACGAAGAGTCGAAAAAGCACCGTTTCGAGAGCAGAGCTTCACCGTTTTGACGTTTCGTCTCTTAGATTTCGGAGCTAGGGTTTCCAGAGGGTTTTCATTGTTCATTCGAAAGAAGGTAGTCAGTGTTCGCAGCAGATGAGTGTTGATGATATGATATACACCAGTTGATTTGGTGTGTGTGTGTGTGTGTCTATATATATATATATATATATATATCAAATAGAAGAATAATCGACGAAGCGAAAAATAGAACGAGAAAAATCACACTAGAAAAGAACACAGAGATTTACGTGGTTCGACAAATTGCCTACGTCCACGGAGTTGCATAGGATTTTACTACTAGAGGAATTTACTTCAGTCGATCACCTCGACTTACAAGAAGAATCTCTCACTTCGTTGCTCTTTCTTCTTCTCTCTTTTTTCTTTTCTCTCTACACCGAGATACACCGAAGAAATTCTACACCGAGATACACTGAAAAAGATAAACTTACAAGAGTCAAGAAGAAGTCAACGGAGAACAATCTTCTTCTTCTTTCTTCTTCCTTCACCGCTAGGAACTACTGCTTGCACTTTCCTTCCTTTTATCCTGAGGAAGCCCGAAGAAGAACACTAACTGTGACTTAGAAACTTTCTTCTCTTCTGTTTGCAACTTAAAGGAGACGGGAGGCGGTGTCGTTTCGCGAAACGATAGAGGCAAGAAGAGCGGGAACAGGTATCGCGATCATCGCGATCGAGCAGGAGACGTTTGCGAAACCTTAAGGTCGCAGTCGCGACCTTTCGCGATTGGGAACAGGGAGGCAGGAGCAGGAAGCAGGCGCGACCGAGCAGGAGCGGTTCATATCGAACTCCAGCGCTAACAATCTCCCACTTGGAGACCGATACACATACTACAATGTCTTTTTCTTCGTACTGATATCCTCTACTGGCGACGTCGTCCTTTTCTTTGAACATGAATTCTCCATCTCTGCAACTCAAAGCCTCTGTCTTCACTTCAGAAGACCAACTGAAGCTGTGCATAACTTCAGTTTCTCAAGAGTAACACCCTCAGTCAACATATCAGCAGGATCAACATAGCTTTGCACCTTAAAGCTATTTCCTGATTACTCTTGTCTCTGCTTACAACTCCCACTGCATGAGCAATATGTTGTCTCTACTGAAAGTTTTTTTCAACAAGTCTAGCCTTAGACCTCTTACTGTCATCATGCTCAGTCTTCACCTGATACACCCACTTGTTGTGTAATGCCTTCTTATCTGATAGAAGTTTTGTCAGCTCCCACTTGCGAGTTTCTTCATAACTTTATGATTCTTCACCATCTGTATGTAGAACAATAGGAATGGGTACCCATCTGATGGAAGTTTTGTCAGCTCCCGCTTGCTCGAACTTTCATCTTGCAAGTTTCTTCATAACTTTATGATTCTCCACCAATATAAACTGCCAACAATAGTGCATCATGTACTTCTTCATATACCACATTTGCGCTATCATTCTCCATCTTCTTAGGATTCCTTTGGGATTCCTACAATTTCTCCTTATGTGGCTGCCCTTACCACAATTCCAGCGCATTGTCTGCTGACCAGACTTTGATTTTGATCTCTCTTTATTTGAGTTCATGTCATTTCATCTCCCTCTGAAATTAACATTCAGTGTCGAAATCGACCTAAGATCTCGCTAGAATCTTTCATGCGCACCTCCTCAGTCAAAATCAAATCACGAATATCATCACATTTTAGTTTAAATTTATCTGTAGAACTGCTAACTGTCATCCTCATGGCTTCCCAACTATTTGACAACGATGCCAACAATATCAGCGCACGCATCTCATCATCAAAATCAATTTCAACAGACGGCAATTGATTTGTGATAGTATTAAAATCATTCAGGTGTTGAGCAACAGAAACATCTTCTGTCATCTTCAAGTTGAATAACTTATTCATAAAGTACACATTGTTATTCGCCGATGTTTTTTCATACATACCTGATAAGCCTGTAAGACATCTGCAGTTGTCCTTTCCTTGATGACGTTGTGAGCAACGGACCTCAATAGGGTCAATCAAATAACCCCCAGAACTTATCGATCCAACAAATTCCATTCACATTCAGCCTCATCCATCCTTTCAGGTCTTTTTCCCAATAACGAAAGATGAAGTTTCTTCCCATAAAGGTATTCGTTTGTCTGCATCCTCCAATAACCAAAATATGTGTCATCAAATTTTTTGATCCCTGAAACCTTCATTTCATCTACAGTCATCATTCTTCCTCCGATCCGAACAAAGCTCTAATATCATTTGTTGATGATATGATATACACCAGTTGATGTATTATATATATATATAAACGATCAACGAAGCAAAAAATAAAACGAAAAAATCACACTATAAAAGAATACACAGATTTACGTGGTTTGACTAATTGCCTACGTCCAAGGAGTTGCATAGGATTTTATTACTTAAGGAATTTACACCAATCGATCAGCTTGATTTACAAGAGGAATCTCTCACTTCGTTGCTCTCTCTTCTTCTCTCTTTGTTCTTCTCTCTTTATACAGAGATACACTGAAGAAACTCTTCTGTTTGCAACTTAAAAGAGATGGGAGGCGGCGTCATTTCGCGAAATGACTGAGGCAGGAAGAGTGGGAACATGTATCGTGATCGAGCGGGAGACGTTTGCAAGACCTTAAGGTCGCGGTCGCGATCTTTTGCCATCAGGAACAAGGAGGCGGGAGCGGGAAGCGAGCGCGACCGAGCGGGAGCAGTTCCTATCGGGCTCCAACGCCAACAAGGAGGAAAGTCATTTCTTCGTTTGAAGTTGAGAGGTTTAGGGTTTAATATTTTCAAAAAATGAAGGGTCGCAAGCAAACCGACGAACAGAGGAGTGCTCAAAAGTCATTGAGGTAATGTTCTGCGTTGCAAAAAATAGTTTATTTTTTAAATCAATTAATTTATTATTGTGTTATCGCAATGTTATTGTTGTGTATCCCTTGTCTTATTGATGGGTTGGCGTTCATTTTTTACTAGATCGTGTTACTATTGTGTTATTCATTTGTGATTGATTTGTTATAGCTGTGATATCTTCGTGTAATAGCCTTGTAACAGTTGTGTTTTCTTTGTCTTATTGATGTGTTGCTCAAGTGGTGTTCTTTCTGAATATTTCTTGTGTTATAACAACATTATTTGGGTGTTACTGATGTATTTCATGTTGTCATATGTGTTTAAACACATAAATAATTAAATAACACAGATGGATCTCACTAGTGTTATTGTTGTGTTATTGTGTGTTATTCCGTTAATAATACGTATGTTTTATTCATCTGGTGTACTAAAGTTGTATATGTGGTGTATGACTTTGATTTTAGGCGTTACTGATGTGTGAAATGGCACTAAATGACATACTGGTTGTTTAGGGTGTGTTATGATTGTGTAAGTGGATGTTATTGAGTGCATAACACCAATTGTCCTTTGCTGATGTGTCTGGAAGTCGTATATGTGTTGTATTGCTTTGATTTTTGGTGTTACTGAAGGCCTTCTTGGTGTTATATGTGTGGAAACTCATTAATAACTTAATAACACATTTGAATATTGTTGGTGTTACTTTTTGTGTTGGTGTGTGTTATTCAGTTAATAATGCCAATTTTTTATTTCATTTGGTGTTTTGAAGTTGTATAGGTGCTATTTGGCTTTGCCTTAGGTGTTATATAATTGGTGTTATTTTAGTTATTGTGTAATATAATTGTATATGTGTTGTATTGCTTTGATTTGGGGTGTTACTCTAGGATTTCATGGTGTTATATGTGTTGTATGTATTTCATAATATCTTTTATGGTACTTATTTTAATTCTTTTCATTTGTAGGTTTATGAACACAAGGACATTCAACTGAAGGTTCCATTCATCTGCAGTAAGAGGTGCTTTGGATACTGTTAGACATCTCGTATCATTGGAGACAGTGAATTCATTGAAAGAAATGCATGTTCTACTTCTTTGATATGCCTCCATATCCACAAGACAATGTGTTGACATTACACATTTTGATATGTTGAGATAATGAGAGGAGGGTGTACAGAATGAGTAGGAAAGAAGTAAAATTGCATTCTGACCACTTGGCGTTGATATTAGGTATGCCTAACAGAGAGAAGACAGTTGTATGAAGGAAAACCCCCTCATATGGTGTGGATGCCAGATAAATAAAGGACCAACTAATGAAGTTCTTTGAAGGAGGTTCTTCCACTCCCTTTGAGCAGTTATGTTTTAAGTTTCTACTAACGAATTTATTTTTTCCCTCGAGCAATTTTAACGTGTCCGCGGGACTTCTTTTCTTTGGTGAAAATGTACAGTTATTTTCTACTTATAATTG